TTTTTTTTACCGACCTCAAAAAAAGTTATCGTGCAATTAATTGATTTATTGTCTATCGCGAAAGGCCTATCATCAAAGTATATAAAGACAAAGATGTTAAGAAAATTGTGTAAGCCATCATTGACAAGAGCTTGAAACAGCAGAGGTGTTGGTGAGCCCAAAAGGCATGGCAAGTGTCCAAGGGGGGGTTCAAATAACTGTTTTCCATAAATCACTTTTATGAATCCTGATGAGATAAGCATTGCAAAGACCTCACTAGACCTCTGTCTAGGGATGGGTCAATGCTGGGTCTCAGGGGCTTGACTTTTTAAGCCAAAAAAATAACCCTGCTCCGACAGGTGAGGTAGAAAGTCTAATGATGCCAGAGGAAAAGTATTCTTTGATGTATTTCTTCATTGACTTCTTCTCGAGCCCAAATATATTGTAAAGCCTACTTGAAGATAGGGGTCACATGAAAGGAAGTCAATGGCACAATCACAGGGTCTGTGAGGGGGTAAAGGCAATATATTTTACTAAAAACCTAAAAACCTGAGAGAGATTGTAATAATTTGAGGAGATGTTGGAGAGTTCTATTTTTTCACCGACTTCAGTTTCTCTCTGAAACGAGGTACCTGCTGCTCTTAAACAACTCAAGCTTCACTCCAACTTTCAATATATCCTTCCATCCATTTAAAGACAGGATTGTGTGTTTTTTAGACAGGAGAAACCTACAATTACTTGGGGAGTCAAAAACATCAAACTCACCCTCTTTATGATGATTTTTTTTCCAGAAATGACCAGATGGTCAATTGATGCACAACAAGATATGGATGTAAGAGTTTGTCCTGTGAGGGCGGTAACTGTGAGACTGTGAAATAACTTTTGAACAGGAATGAGTAATTGATCGACAAGTTTTTTCCTGATTAGATTTTGCTCTGCACCAGGGTCCATAAGGGCTAAAAACAGGGAAATTAATTATTTTGACACAGGTAGCAGGTAATATTAAACGTGAGCCAGGAGAGTAAGAATAATTACCCACCAGTATCTCCTGGTTTGCTGGTGATATAGTCTGTTTAATCAGACCTGGCAGATGGCAATGAAGTGTCCCTTCTTTCCACAATATATATCTTTGGCATCAATACAATGCTGTCTTTCTTTGGGGGAAAGTCTAGCATGTCCAATCTGCAAAGGTTCTAATTCAGAATTGTCTGTTGCTTCCTGTGATGATTCTGTAAAGTTACAGTACCTGTGGAATCTCCACACTTCTATTGATGGATTCTTTTCTTTCCTGATGGTACAGGCAGAAGACTGAGGGAAGACAATGAGATGATATCATGGGAGGAATGATGAATGAGTCAGAGCAGATATAAAGATTAGAAATAAACTGCAGGTATAAGTGACCGGACAAACAGGAGAGCTGAGAAGAAACTAGGGTCATAAAAAGTAAAAGAAACTAATGGACAGACTGAACAGGTTACAGCAAAGAGATCTAAGAAAGCAAAACCCTGCCAGAACTTTATTTTACTTAAACTGAAAATATGGAACTGCAGAAATTTCAAAACGAAAACTAAAACACAATGAATAACAAAAACCTGAAATGTTACAGGTTTTAAGTATTCTGTAAATTTTCTGAAATTTTACCCAATCCCAAACAGATGTTAGAAAACATACTGTATGTGTCTTGAGGAGGTTTGCTTTCACTTTATGTACACTTGTTTTACTGCGTGCTAGCAATAATGCTACAAACTCTACCTATATATAAAGACAAGCTAAACAAAGTTACCAATAATGTGAAACAGAAATTATTTCACAACTTCAAGCCTGGTAACCTCTGTTACTGCAGAAGCAGAGATGAATCCAGCCACTCGTGTCATGCTGGAGTTTTTCCTTTCCACTGTCACCAGTGTGCTGCTCAGAATGGGAGACTGTGATGAAGGGATTTAACACAACCTGCTGGGTTCTTTAGATTGATTGTTTTTTTTTTTTTGTTTTTGTTTTTTTTTAACAGAGACCTGAGGCAATGTTTGTTGTGACTTGGTGGTGTATAAATAAACCAAACTTAACTCAATTTAGAATTCAAGCTTTTCAGCCATCATTATTTATTCTGACGATTCAGATCTCCAGCCAATGGCAGAACTTATTACACCTCAAAGCACCACAAAAACTCCACCAAACCATAGCAGGGTTAGCATAGTATTCCGTGATTGTTGGTCACATGTTTTTATGATACAAATATGATGTCAGGTTTCAAAGTTCATAGTACAGAATTTTTAGATGTAGCACTCGGTGGCAACCAGGAAATCACATTACATTTGAGATCAGATGACATCAGATGATTACAAAGTTTCATCCATTCATCCATTTTCTTTATCAGCTGTTTTCTTTGCGGGTTAGCTGGTGCCTGTCTCCAACAATAACTTTGTGAGAGGTGAGGGACACCCTGGACAGGTCACACGTCCATCAAAGGGATGCATGGAGACAAGTGAGACAACCGTTTATTATTTCATTCACATCTAAGAGAAGATTATGTGCAGTTATTTTTCCTTAGAAATCAGTATCAGTACGGCATGAAAATTCTAAGCAAATGTTCCAATAGGGGAGGAGGTTATTAAAGAGATGAAACTAGTTCTGTGTTTCAACTGATGAGATAAGTTTATTTTCAGCTTCCACAAAAAAACAACTAAAAATAATTGTTAAAACCTTCACTCAGACTTTTGGGGAGGTTTTGAGTTTGAGTTGGTTTAGGAGGAATAAACAGAACCTGTGCACTTCTGTCTGATTGCCCAAACAGAATTCACTCTGACTGACCACATGTTTCTGCAGATGAAAAATCTGAACAATATTTTGGATTAATTAACTTAACTCATCAAAAAAATAAAATAAAATAAAATAAAATATAAAAAACTGGGTCACTGTAACCTAACAGAAAAAACACAAATAGGTTTGCAAAAATTTATTTCCATGCCATTGGTTTAAAATGCTAAAACGAAACATTTAAATTTCACCCCAGAAAAGGTTTTGTAATCATATTATTGATCTACATCTGTTTTCAGTCAAACTTGGAAAAAACATAGCACACATGAAAAAATAAAACATTATGCATAAAACGTTATTATATAAAGTAATTTCCTTTCATTTTTACAAAATAAGAGGAACCTTTTTGGAAATGTTTGCTTTGTAATCCTTTGATTTACAAACTGAGAAGGTCTAAAACTTTTGGAGTGAAGGCAGTCGAAGAAGAATAAACACTTTGTTTTTGGTGTTGCAGATGCACACTCAATGAAAAACTGAGTGTTTTGGTCCTGATCTGATGGTACAGAAGCAGTGAATGGGGTTAGGGTGGGGCGTGGGGTTAGACATTCATACCACCTCATGCTTGCATTGAGCTCCTTTATCAGGAAACACATTTGCTTTTTAAATCGCTCATACTTTTGTTTGATCACTATATTCAAGTGGAAATTTATTTTTTTGAGAGAAAATAATAAATTTCATGTCCAGCATTTTCATTGAGATAAATATATTTACTGTGTTTAAACATATATAGTTACGTAAATAATACACATATATCAGTAAAGTAAACATTTAGTCTGTTTATTCTCTTAGTTTAAATAAAGTAATTTTGTAATGACGCTGTTGAGTATTAGGTCAAGTTTCAATAGAAATACATAATACAGATGGTTATTTACTGGGTACAGAGTATACTTACATGGGAAGTGATGAGTAAATACCAATACATATTCTGTAAGTACCAAGTATGTACACATTGAGTACCAGTTATATATCCTATAAACACTGAGGAAATACCAGGTACCTGTCATATAAGTACCAAGTATATTATACCCATTAAATACATGGTGTATACCAGGTTAGTATTCATCACATAACATGTATGTACTCCAAGTACTCAGTGAGTACCAGATGCTCACACAGCATGTACCCGTTCTGTACAAGGTTTTATTATCTTCAACCACCTGAGTAGAAGTCAGAAGTACAGGAGCACCACTAAAATATGTTTCTCATATATTCTTCTGATCAGGACAAGCCTCAGACCCCAAGTAAGAGGGGGTGGGAGGGGATCCGGAAAGCCCAATCACCCCCATCCTGGGTGAGGAAGGACCTGGAAATGGTGACCGCCTCCCCGCTGGAGCTGCAGACAGTGGAGTGGGAAAAGACCAGCGCCACCATTCCACTCGTGGGCCAGGAGATCATGGACCTGCAGACAGAGGTGTGACCCCCCCCTCCCCCAATTCTGACCTCACTTCCTATGGCTGCCCGTTTGCTCCAGCGCTATCAGACAACACACACACACACACACGCACACACACACACACACACACACACACACA